GCCGGGGGTCGGTGCCCGGGGCGCCGCTTCACTCAGGGGCTCCGGCGGGGGCGGGGGGCGCCGGGACCAGGCCCGGCCCGAGGCCTCGAGTGCGGAAGGCAGAGCGCAGGGCCCTGAGCTCCCAAGCGGAGAACGCCCGCCCTTCCGAGGCCACGCCAGCCCCTGAGCCCGTCCCGACGCCGCGGGGCCGGCGGTCCCCGTCCGCTCCCCAGGGAAGACGCTGGCGTCAGGAGATGGAGGATCAGGGCTCGGGCCTTCCCGGCGCGGCGATGAGGAGCCCGGGGCTGAGCAAAGCCGGGCTTCCCAGCCTTCCCGCTGCACGGCCAGCCCAACCGCCTGGGCAGGAGCCGCCGAACCCTGGCTAATTACAGCTCGTCACGACCTGGCGGCGCATGAAGCGAACCTAAAAGTGGCACGGAGCTGCCCCGGGCGATGCGCAGCCACGCTCCAGCTTGGGATGGCGAGGAGCCGTGCCCGCGGGGAGGCCCAAAGCTCTTCCCCCGTGAACCCCAGTCCCCGCCGTGCCAGGGCTCGAGGTGCTGCTGCGCTGCCAGGCGGGTGCAGCGGGGCCTGCTCTCCCATCCAGCTTCAAATCTAAACCCCGCCACTTTGAGTTCCCGGACGTCCCCTGCGGACTCGCCTGTTCGAGAAGCACCTTCGGACCCTCCCGCCCCGCCGAGATGGGAAGTGGGAGCAGTTCGTGCAGCGCCTGGGCTGCAGGGGTGCTCCCCTCACAGAGCCACAGGTGAAAACAGGGAGGGGGATCCCAGGCGTGAATCGGCCAAGCCGGTCCGGCACACACAGAGGTGAAGTAAAGGGTCGTTGTCCCAGCAAAAGCGGCGTCGTTCATGCCACCACACTCGGAGGGGGGATTAATGGTTGTAAATGAAAAAAGACAGCTGTTTAATAGGGGAAATGTTACCTTTAGGCTGTGGGACCCTCCCCAAAGGGGACCCGGGGCTTTCTGTGCGGGAGAGCAACACATCTGGGAGACCTGTCAGTCTTCTGTATGGACCACGCAGGGACCAAAAGCCAAGCGGGTAGCTTTCTCTTCTGTTCATCTCTCTGTGAGATGTAACTGCTAGTCATAGCGATGCATTTATTTGTAGACAGGTCTCTTCTAGAGGCTGCAGGAGCAGCTCCCCCTTTATTCTCTGGGGGTGGACTGGGGAAGAGCAGTTCCCTGCCGCCCTCGCTCGCAGGCGGGTTTCCCGGACTAGGGAAATGGCAGGGCTCGGAGCTCCCCCAGCGCCCAGCCTGCGCCCGAGGAAGGCACGGGGCAGTACCCGGCACACGGCCCTACGTGGGGCCAGCACCCCAAAATGGCCGGTGGGGCTCTCCTGCCCGTCGTAGGGCAAAACTTGGCGGGTCCCCTGGGGAAAGGGTGAAGTTGGGCTTAGAAAGCAAGCACTGGCTACGCCGTGGTGGGTATTTTGAGTAAGACCTCTCACAATCTAAATACTGAGCGTTAGCTGTGACGGGCGCTTGGCCGCTCAGCTCACAGCGCCACATTTGGATGCCGTTCAGTGCCTGCACCCTTCATACCTTCAGCCTTACCAAGGAGTACTGGGAGACAAGGAAGGATCCTCAAAGCGCCTAAAAGTCTCTGCACGCTTATGTGTGGGCAACTGAATTAAGCCCCTTTTGTTACGCATATGGTAATGAATTGAGACAGGAGAGGATGACTGCATAGGACTGCGTGGAGAGAGAGGGGTGGCGGAGTCACTGCATGCTCGCTGTGGGTTTCAGCATCGCATCTACGCAGCATGGAAAACCAGCTGCCGCCAGCCCGCGCTTCTGGCGTGACGGGGGAGGTCCTGGCTGAACTTAGGGTATCAGCTTGGCCCTCTGTATTCGGACAATAAACGTATAAAACTAACTGTGCCCAGTTACAAAGCGATTTTGAGCACTGGATGAAGGCCAGCGTGTTCCGTTAGGAAGTCAGGTGAACTGGGATTCACATCACCTAATTTTAGATGTATAAACTGAGGCATGTAAATTGTACTGGCCATCACGTCTTCATCGATGAGCAATGGAGAAAGACGGAGGGTTCCAGTTATTCCAGATAAGTTCCTACTTCTGTCTTTGATTATAAAGAGAATCAAACAGTCGGCCGACGCAGCAGAGGCATCAATATTTCAGTGAACCGCGTTCCTGGAAACGAATGCCTTAGTAGCGCCGAAAGCCTTGCTGACGGCAAGGTAAATGTCATCCGCTGCTCTGCCCTGGTCAGACTTCATCACCTCATCACAGAAAGCCATCACATTTTTCAGGCACTGTAACTCCCCGATGACTTTTCCATCTTCTCCTCCGCCTGCCGTGCCTTCTGAAAGGACTCATTCCGGGGTTTTCCTGGGGACTGAAGCGAAGCTACAGCTGCCCGAGTCACCCGGGCCTTTTTTGACGATGGTGCAGAACTTGCTTTCCTCCTCGCCAAGGCTCTCCCCCCATCACCACAACTTTCTGAAGCCGATAGAGAGCAGCTCCACAAGAGCATCAGCCAGCTCTCTCAGCGCCCCGGGCTGCAGCCTGGCCGGCCCCGTGGGCTTGCACAGTCGAGATCCAACAAGCGAACGCCGCGTGAATCCTCACGGGTTCCGCTGTACGAACAGGCGCCGAGATGGCTCCGTGTCCTGTGTCTCCTCCTGCGGTAGGCGAGCTTGCCTGGCGCTGAGCGTGAGCTAGTGTGCAAAGGGATGCGCTGTGGGGTGGGAGAAACCGGGAGCTGCCGTGGAGCGGACCCAGCTAGCCACGCACGGAGGGTGGCACGGCCAGCGTCGCTGAGGAGCGGGGGATGCACGGGGAGGCTCCTTGGCCGAGTTCCTGCAGCCAGTGCTGGAACCAGCGGCTCCTGCTCAAGGCGCATCGGGCGAGAGAGAAGGGCTAGCGCGTTCAGCCACTCGGGGGCCTTCCAGTCCTCGTTTCCCGAGACACCGAGCTTTTAACGAGTGTCTCCCTCCTGCTCAGCCGCCAGTTTACCCTAGCTTGGGCCTGGCACGTGGCTTTTTCCTGGTACCTGCCCTCAACCCTATTTGCAGCCTGAGGAAGGAGGAGGAGGTCCCGATGGCTCTCCAAAGAGCCGGACAGAAAGTCGTGGCCCAGGGCTTATGGTCCCTCACCTATCTGGGAGGAGGTCTTCCTCCATGGGTCCTTGAACTGTTGTAATGGAAGGCTTTTTGCAACAAGACAGGTGCAAAGAAACAGAACTCTTGACTAAATATATATGTATTTTATATATATGTGTGCTTCTATCACTCATCAGTGGTTCTAGTATTTTTTTAGCTGGTAGGGATCTCAAAAGGAAGTTACGTAGAGGTGTACTCCCCTTACTCCTGTGTGTACGGGGGGGGTGTGTAACAGAGGACATTTAAGGGAACGATATCATACAGACCCATATGAGTTTTGATTTGTCAGGATAACGCATCACCCACGTTTAGCCCAAGAGGGAACCAAGCCTTAAAGATTTTGAGAGGTACAACTGAGGCCCGGAGCGCCCAAGGGAAGAGCCACGCTGTATTTGTTGAGAGGCAACATTCATTGCACAGCCCAGCACGCCGTCAGCGGTACGGCGTCTCACGGCTCCTGCTCGCCGGCTGCCACGTGCCGTCTTCTTCAGTGGGACGGGTGAGGCGGTGGTGATGAATGCTCCTGCCACAACTGTGCTGGGCCACGTTCCGTGTCCTGTATTGTATTTTTTGGTGGGGTTGTGACAGTCAAACCCCTCCCCGACGGAGGGAGAGAGATCCATTCCCTCTGCGCAGGGAGGGTTATCCGTTCTGAAATGCCCAGGTGATCCCAGGGCTCTACAAGCTAGCTGACCCACACCAGTCCTTGAGACCCGGGACCCAGTCTGCAGCCTACAACAGCCACCTGGGCCCCACAACCCAGGGACATGGGGCATCAGGGGTGGCTCGGGGGGTGCTAGAGCTGTCGGGGTGTCCGTGGGACTCCAGGGTACTACCCTGTCGTCCTGCGGGGTCTCTCACTGGAGAGGGAGAGGTGTCGGGGCTTCCCTGGGGGAATCTGGGAGCCCTGGGGGTATCAGGGATCCCCATGGGTGTGGGGGTGTCCTAAGGAGATGTCAGGGTCCCCAGTCCCTCACAAGCCTTGCGGGGCGACCCTGGAGATGTGGGGCACCCCAACCAGGCCCTCATTAGTGGGGTGGGGGTGTGAGGGGACCCCAGGGAGGTGGGGATCCCCAGCGGTCACTCACCAGCGGGGCGGCGGGCTGGGCGCTATCCGTGGGGCATGGCGTGTGCAGGCGGGGGCCAGGGGAAGCCGCCTCCTCCTCCTCCTCTGCGGCGTCATCGGGCTCGGCCAGGCTGAGCAGCAGCAAGTTGGTGCAGGCGAAGGTTCGCTTCAGGCTGCAGCAGTTTGGGGGCGGAGCGCTGCTGGGGAGCTCCGCGCTGGGAGCACTGACGCGCCACGGGGCAGAGGTGTGACAGGGACCCCCAGGGCCATGGGGCAGAAGCACAGGTCTCAGCCCCGCTGTGGCCCCCACAACCCCTCTACTAGCCCCACTGCCCCCCTATCGCCACCGAGAACCCTCAATAGCCCCCATTAACTTCCCAGTCTCCCCCAACTCTCTACCTTCCCCGGCGCCCCCCAACAGCCCTTGTACCCCCTCAGAGACCCTCGAGCTTCCCCAGTGCCCCCCGAGCCTCCCAGTGATGACCTGCAGGACCCTACTGCCCTCTCACAGCCCACAACTGCCCCTCCACTTTGTCCCACCCTGAGCTGCCCTTTACCCGAGGAAGGAGACAGCCACGGGCTTGGCGAGGGCCTGGGGGGCACCCAGGCCCAGCAGGGAGCTGGGGGCTGCGGGCAGAGCACGGGTGCCCGAGGTGGGGTCCATAACCTCCCTCATCTCCTTCGACTGCAGGAGGGTTTTCACCCCCGCGTTGGCCATGGCCCCGTTGGTGCGAGTCCGTGCCGGAGGGGCTACGAGAGGTCTGGCTGCCCCCGGGCCAGCAGAGGGGGTCCCGCCCGTCACCCTGACCTCACAAACGCTGGCTATACTGGTCACACACGGTTCCGTGAGGGGCTTCTGCCCCAGCCCCTCCCCTTACGTGCCTCAGGTTACCCTCTGGATTGCTGGTTTAGTCGCTGCTATCCCCAAAGCAGCCACCAAAATACTTGTAGATTTAGCGCTTGATTAGGGACAAGTCTTCCCCAGTACGAACAGCCCCGGGTTCGTGGGGCCAGTGAGGGCGGGAAAACTCCAGCCCAGAAAGGGCTGAAGGCAGCCCACAGTCCCCTGGGACCGGCAGCATCTCTCCCGCTGCTGTACGGCCCACATTGTCCTGCTGCCAGATCCTGCCGGGTCGGATAAAAAGCTGAGGAAGGGCGGTCAGAGATCACCAGGACTTAGCAATACCGCTCAACGGAGGGAAAAGACACTCCCGCATGCGCAGCAACTGGAATAATGCGGACTAAGGAGAAAGTCACTGACAGAAAAGCTGAGGCGATGCAGAATAAAGACTCTTTTATAGAAGAGAGAAAGCAGTTGCCGTTCTCGCCTGGTTCGCTGAAGGAGGATATCGGCTTTTAGCCATCAGTGGTGCTCGGTGGGTTCTTCTTTCAGAGGTGGAATAATTTCTCCCGTCTCTAAAATTCTGTCCCCCTGAGGGAATGAGAGGACGGTGAGCGTTTCCTCCCGCGCCCGGTCTCTCCCCTCACGCGGCACAGTCTGTCAATTAAGCTGTAGCTCTCCCCACCTCTAGACAAAAAAAATCTTACTACAACTCACTCTCATTCGCTCAGCATCTCCCAGAATTCTGAAATAACATCGCCGCCAAATTATCTGAAACCTGTACTTGCTTTACCCCTTTCTTTTCAGCTCCAGAACAGGAGCCAAACATTTGGAGACTATATCGTTTTAAAAACGTATATTGGACTTACAGCACTGCATAACCACCTTCAACACGGCGTTTGGTGACTCCCCAAACCCACGGCCCGTAGCCCACGAAGAGCTACATAACTCCTCAAAAATCAAACTGCTGTTTGTTACAGCTTCAGGCACCGTCTCGGCCGACGGAGCTGACCTAACTCGAGTCAGTAACGGGGCTGAAGTCAGAAGCCCACAGCTTGACCTTCCGTATGCTGCTACGTGGTTGTTAGGGATGGAACTATTTTATAATTTTATTTTAGATAAAGCACAATTAGGCAGATGTTATGCAAAAAAACCCGTGCAACTGGCAGAAATAGCAGAGCTAAACTTAGATGAGAATATTTGCCCACCGACTCGCTCCACCAAGCGACGAGTCGTGGCTCAGAGCAGTCCAAAAACCAGCGAAGACCGATCCGACAGCCTCCGCTTCGCCAACCAAAGCCCCAGCTGGGGGGCATGACTTCACCTCTCCGGGGACGCCTGAGCATGGGGGGCCCGCAGGGACGCCCGGGACCACGCTCGCGCGGCCGGAACCGCCGGGCTCAGCACCGAACGCCTCCCCACCCCTGCTGATCACCGCTCCCGTCATTCCGCGCGTTAATAATCGCGCTTTCACGGAGGCGCCGAACACCCAGACCCCTGCGCGAAGACGCGCAGTAATTAACGCCTCCGTTCAACCTGTTCTTAGCGAAACCAGGAGAGGCATGCAGCCGGGCTTGCCCCTTTTCGGGGGAGCGGGAGCGCGCAGCCGTGGCTTTTGCCAGCACGTCGTGCCCTGACGGACCCAGCGCTTCAGCTTCCCGTGCAACTGGGCACAAGCGGCAAACTCAGAACCAAACAGGAAAGCTTCCCTGCGTGGTCTGTGCGTGCTTAACCTGCCCCAGTCGCTGCGGGAGATCCCGCGAGGCCACGTTTGTGTTTTCCGCCCAGGACGGGCAGCGCTGTCAGCCGGGCACTGGGAAGTTTGCCGCTACGGAGGGAGGCAGCACTGAAACAGGGGCTGTCTGCTCTGCGGACAAGGCGAAAAGTGCTCAAAAAATACTGCAAGGGTGCTGCTGCAGGGCAGCCTGCCCACAGCACCCAGCTCATCCTTCTAGCGATTCTCCCTGCGCAAACCTGCGCTTCTCCCCAAGCCACCCCTTTTCTGCCTGTTTTACCAAGCTGGAAGATAAAACAAGTATTAATGGACTTACTGGGAATACGCGTGGATTTGACATAACAATTCCGTGCGGCGTTTTCTGAAAGCGGAGGGGGGGGACAAGAGAGGGAGGGGTAAGGAAAAAGGAGCGTTACCCAGATGAAGCATAAAGGATTTCCCAAACGCGGATGCCGACCCTTCTGAAACACAAGCTCTACTGAGTACAAGGCTCATTAACCTGGGTTCTTCCCATCAGTGAAAGAAATGCCCGAGGCTAATAAAATTACACCTCCCGAGCAAGACAAGGCCGCCCAAGCGAAGGCCTGTCCCATCGTCGGCCGCTCCCCTTCCCCGCCCCGGCAGCCGCAGCCTGGCTACCCCCAGGGTCACCCACCCTCAGGAAAGCAACAGTTCAGACCCGGCTTTGCGGCTCACAGGAGGCAGCAGGGTCAAAGCTGGCCGCTGCCGTAAAAGATGGCCAAAAAACCACCTACGCGTGCCGCGCAAGCGAGGGAAAACAAGCGGTGCGCAGAGGACGGGGAGCCACCGCGCCCAGCGGCAGAGGCTGAACCAGGCTGACGCAACCCCTGCGGGACTGCGTGCTGCACCGGGCCCCCTCTCTGCCGGGGGGCTTCTCCCCGGGCTCGGCCCAGCGCCCCTCGCTCTGCCCGAACCCCCTTCTCGGCGGCGGGCCGCACGCACCATGACGTGATACTTCAGGTAGTAGAGGATGATCCAGGCGGGGGCCAGGACCCGCGGCAGGACGAAGGCGCCCGGC